ATGCACGCACGTGTACGTGCACACGCACGCACGCACGCATGCACGCACGTGTACGTGCACACGCACGCATGTGTACGTGCACACGCACGCATGTGTACGTGCACACGCACGCATGTGTACGTGCATATGCAGGTACGCACACGCACGCATGTGTACGTGCATATGCAGGTACGCACACGCGCACGTGTACATCCAAACGCACGCACGCGCACATGCATACATGTGTACCTGCACACGCACGCACGTACGCACGCACGCAGGTGTACGTGCACACGCACGCACTAACGCATGTACGCACGTGTAAGTGCACATGCACGCACGCACGCACGCACGCACGCACGCACGTGTACGTACGCACGAACGCACGTGTACTTGCACACGCACGTGTATGCATGCACGCACGCACACACATACGTGCACACGCACGCACGCACGCACGAACGCACGCACACACGCACGCACGTTTACGTGCGCAAACGTGTACGTGCACACGCACGCACACACGCACGCATGCACGCACGTTTACGTGCGCACACGTGTTCGTGCACACGCACGCACGCACGCATGCACGCACGTGTACGTGCACAGGCACTTGTACGTGTCACGCGCGCACGCACGCCCGCCCGCACGTGTACGTGTATGTGCCCACGCACACACGCACGCACACACGCACGCACGCACGCACACACGCACGCACACACGCATGCACGCACGCACGTGTACGTGCACACGCACGCACGCACGCACGTGTAAGTTCAGACGAACGCACGCACGCACACACGTGTACGTGCACACGCACGCACACAGCACGCACGTGTACGTGCACTACATAAACAGCGCTTTCTATCAGAACATGTGGTCATTCATCTGTAAATGTCAAGCAGCACGCTTCGCTTCTGCCAACCACAACACATAACAAATACACGTGACCTGATATATGACGTCACGTGAAACATCGCTATACACTTTCGAATGTCTACGATGCACTGTTGCGATTTTTTCCTTTTTTCCCGATTTTTTCCTTTTTTTCTTGATTTTTTCCCTTTTTCCGATTTTTTCCTTTTTTTTAATCAAAACTGGACTCGGTCTCGGACTCGGACTCGGACTCGAGTGGTGTGGACTCGGACTCGGACTCGGACTCGGGTGGGCGCGGACTCGGACTCGGACTCTGACTCGGGGGGTGCGGACTCGGACTCGGACTCGGGGGGTGCGGACTCGACTACAACACTGGTACTGAAGTAATTTCACATGTATGTTACAACCCGTTATTCGGCATATAGCATCAACTTATTGATTCGGAACACGCATCGATTTTGTCCAACCCCCGCAATTAAGTCATCTCTTCCCTGTACCACAGCAATATCTGTATGAACGAGCACGACTCACGTATGCAACCGTAATGCCAAACACGGTAGCTCCAGCTATCAGCTGCATGTTGTACTTCCTCTGCCTGGCAGCATTCGCGTCCGCCCACGACCCCTTCGGCACAGGAAGGCTGTTGAGAGTCGGCGTGGGCTGGCTTCCGCCATGTTGCTTGGCTGGCGTCGAGTAACTCCGCGCAACTCTCTGCACTGAGATCAACAAGAGAACGTCACAGGATTAGAAATGAACAGTTGTATACCAGATTGTTACTGTTAGAGATTCATCAAGTGGGTGCAGCTTCTACTGCTCCGTGAATAATAGCGAAAAGATCAATAAAGGCACAAAACGATTGCAAGTACAAGATTAACGTGTAAAACATTAAAAATACTCAACTGCTATTATAATACGAAGCACAAACAACAACACATGCATTCTTCTAGTATTACTATTTTATACTTTTTACTAATTACTTTTAGTTTGATTCTGGTTACTAGTAGTAACTAGATTCAAACTAAAAATATATCTCCACTGCAACTTAGCATGATTGACAATGCATTCTTGCCAAGACACACTTTTGGATAAAAGCAATATATTTCAATTTTTATTAAATTTTTTAAGCCTAAATTCCATTAAAACAATTAAGAAAAAAACGTGAATTCCAAAATCCAACTGCCGTAATACGATATTTTCCATCAAAAATAATATGCAGCTACACAGAATATAGAACAACAGCTGCTCTATTCAACTGCAAGTTAGCATATAGCATTACCATGACCTGGAAAAAAAGCGATTGGGCCAACGTTGGCCCACCGTTGGGCCAAGAGTCGCGTGCTGAACTAAAGGCTGTTGTTCCAATCTTACAATGTTGCCCAAACAGCTGCATACTATCTGTATTAATTAGTTCTATAATCTCTCGAGGTCAACTCTCAGCAGCTGAATAAAGAAAGACCCAGTTAATACAATTATATCAACTAAAGTAATTACATATAAAAATTACCTCCACCGAGCCACTCAATTGAGCAGGTACGAGGGTAACCGGTAAACACTTTTTTTTAGAAAAGGGCGTTGCCAATACAGTAGCAGCAACACGCGTTACACATGTACCTCGTTTGACATATGCCGAGAGCCTGCTTTGCTGCTGCCGAACAAGCTGTGTGCTGTGCAGTAATCGAAGCATGGTGTACGGAACTTCTTGACCAGATTCTGTCAATGCTCGTCAACTTTTCGCCAGGATGTAGTGACCTCCAGCTGGACATTAGTCACGACCGAAAATAGACGGCATAGCAAATTTCAGCATTTAGTTCGTTCCACTAACACATGCTTCGGGTGAGTGTTTCGCAGTGTGAGAAACAATCGATCAGTCGGACGCCACTCGATCAATCGATCAGTCACGCCAGAGTAGGAAATAGGGCGAAGGAATCACTGTGGCATTACGAGAATAATTCATAACCAGGGTTATAGCAGTGGCAATGTAAAGCCTATACTTTAGGGCACCCGTATCACCACCATTCCGAGCGCACCTCATAACCATAAACACAACCTATTCCTGTTTGTCCCAATCACGTAAAACATAGATGATTTTTGTATGACGGTACGCATATACAACATGTATAATGTATGCTGATCGGCACTTAAAGTGTCTACGTCACGAATCTCCTGAAATTTATAGTTGAAACCTTATTTTTGTAATTTTTTTACATCAAAAGTTAGTACTAACGTTACTAAATATATCCTCAAACTCTCACCTGATAAAAACGTTTTTACGTTGGTTAAATTTGCAAAAACCTTGACGATTTGAATTAGTGTTGTCTAACACTATTTACATAGTACTGGCGTCTCTGTTGCTGTACTGGTTGCTGTGGTCGATGTCATCGTGATTTGTGTATGGTGCACAAAGTGGTGCCCAAACAGTTTCTGTTTTGATTTGTGTTAGCTATATAGAATATACAATATGGGAAAAATAAATAATATATGTTCTTGTGTATTATGTTTGAAAAATTATTATTAAAACTGCGAAATGTTATTTGTTTTTTTAAATTTCTGCCAACAAAAATGTTTGTGACATCCCCTTCACGATAGATCAGAGGCTAGATCAACTAAACGATAAACAATGGTAGGCAGACCAGTGCATCGGAAAGAAAACTCCCGCTTAAGTTTACAAGGAATTTCCATGGCTGCCACAATAATTTTGCCAATGCCTCGTTTACCGCAGATATTTGCTATATCGGCTAGCTGCGTCTGGGCGCCACGCAAGAGTTTCGAATTAATGGCAATTGTTGTTGTGTCGAGCGTTTGGTTACATCGAATGCACCGGCAAATTAGGGAGTATAAAGAAGGTATATAAGCATGAAAAGTAAATAGAAACGCTAATTGTATTGTCATGCATTTTATTTTGTACAAATAACACACAAATATACTACTTGCTGGTGCTCGAAATTCTGCTGTCTGCTATCAGAGACCTGTGCTTGGACAACCCCAATCATGTGTCGATGACATACATATGACACCCGATGACAGATCGATGACATACATGACACCCGATGATGCATCGATGACATGCATGACACCTGATAATGCATCGATGACATGCATGACGCATCGATGACATGCATGACACCGGATGACGCATCGATGACATGCATGACACCCGATGACTCATCAATGACATGCAAGACCACGATGACGCATTGATGACATGCATGACACCCGATGACGCATCGATGACATGCATGACAACCGATGATGCATCGATGACATGCATGACACCCGATGACGCATCGATGACATGCATGACAACCGATGATGCATCGATGACATGCATGACACCCGATGACGCATCGATGACATGCATGACAACCGATGATGCATCGATGACATGCATGACACCCGATGACGC